GCCCAATTTTGAATGGGCTTGTTTGTTTTTTTCCTGTAAATCTGTTTGAGTTCTTTGTAAATTCTGGATATCAGCCCTTTGTCAGATGGGTAAACTGCAAAAATTTTTTCCCATTCTGTTGGTTGCCGATTTGAGGATCTCTTACCTTTCCAATATCCTTACAAGAAAAGGGTAGAGTGTCTTGCCATTCTTCTCCTAGGAGAGTACTTAGCTGGTACATGATGATAGTTGAAGAGAAAATCAGGGGCGCCTTCATCTTAAAATCCTTGACCCACTGGCTCAGATTCCAGTACTTAGAAAGCAGTAGATATAAGTGTGTTTGCATGAAGAAAATATGACAGTAAATCCTCAAACCTTCAAAACAAATTAACTACAGTGATTATAATACCAGAAAAACCTCAAACTAAGTAATTATTTTTCATGGATCTCTTAGATTATTTATTCTCACATGATGCACTACTTGGGTATAGAGGAATTTTTAATTTCTAAACACTTTAAGTATCAGCTAGAAATCAATGCCAACTATAAATCATTCAGAAATTAAAACAGAACATTTTGTTATTGTTTTAATTTCAATGGGATATGTGATTCAATTTATGTACAAATTTTCCAGAATGGTTTTTTTGTTGTTGGTTTTTTTATATATAAAAGTTAAGTTGTACTACAGAAGGGTAAAAGAGAAAAGGCTTTAATAATTGCACTGGACTTAAGGATGCAGCAGACTAATGAAATAAGTTTATAATTAAGGCCTCTCAACTACATCAGCATGATTTCAATGAGCACAACAAATCAGTCCTCTTTAGCTAAGCTAAAAGGTAGATAGGTTGAATGCCCCAATATAATTTAAAACTGGTACTAATATTTTGAAGATTACATTCAGCTTTCTGTAATAATGGGGCTTTAAAACTTCTTGGTGTGCCTAAAATTACCTTTTCACTTGTGTACTTATACAAAATTTGAGGAGGAAGACATAGTGACAGAAAGTATAAAAAGATAATTCAGGCTATTCTAAATAATTCAGATGCTATTCTGGAAACCTCCTTTAAAAAACATATTTCCTCTTCTCTAAAGTGGCACAGCAAACTCTTAAAAAAAAAACAAAATCTGACTATGATGCTCCAAGTTGATTTATCAGGGGTGTCATCTCAAGAATACAGAGTCATAGACAGGTAGAAACTTTTTGCATTTAGATACCAAAAATATTGCCAAAATAGAGTGGCTCTGGAGTCAGACAGACCTGTTCTTAGACAACTAGCTGTATGACCAACATGAGTTTCATAATCTTTTTGAGCTTATGTTTTGCTGTCTATATAAAGCTGACATTTTATATTCATGTACTATATAGAGATGTTTTGGTCAACAACAGACAACATATACAAAGTTGGTCCCATAAGATTTTAATAGTATATTTTTACTGGATCTTTTCTATGTGGAGATAGAGTTAGATACACAAATACTTAACACTGTGTTCCAACTGCCTACAATATTCAGTACAGTAACATGCTGTGCAGGTTTGTAACTTAGCAGCAATAGGCTATAGCATGTAGCCTAGGCATACAATAGTCTATACCATCTAGGTTTGTGAAAGTACACTCCATGATGTTTGCACATTGACAAAATCACCTAACGATGCATTTCTCAGAAAATATCCCCATCATTGAGCAACACATGACTGAACTTAAAAAGATTAATATATATATATTTATAATATATATGTTTATGTTGTACCTCACACAAAGGATATGCTTAATAGTTATAATTTTTTATGCGACTAAATTAAGCTCTTGTGGAGTTAAAAGAGAATAAAAGATGAGTCATGGTTGGTGAATAGATTGTCATCAAATCTAAAGATACAATGAACTCGTTCTTCTAGTCAGGCCAGTTCCTAGAAGGCAAAACCAAGAAGTAGGAACTGGATCTTCCATACAGTCTAGGAATCTCCATATTAATGTTTGAGTCCTGGAAGTCCCTGGATCTCCCACAGGTCTTTCCCCATTCCTGCCCTCATCATAATTTTCCTGCTTTCTGTTTAATAGTTTTCTGTTATTTTGCTTACATGTGTAAATGTGTAACCCTTCCTGAGCTTATATTTATTTCGACAGGGATCCCAGAGAAATAATACATGACGACCGTTCTCAGAGGCAGATGCTTTGCTGTTAATAATGAAAGCAAATGAATAATGCTTACTCTGAGCCAGGTGTCATGGCACATGCTTTATGTGCATTACCTCATGCAAACCTCACAACATTCTATGAGTAGACCTTATCATAGTCTTTATTTTGGAGATGACGAATCTGAGATTTAGAGAGGTGAAGTAACTTGGCAAAGGACAATCAACTCCTAGAAGAGGCAGAGCCAGAATTGACCACCAGGCCCACCTGAATCCAGATCTCTTGCCCCTAACTACTGGGTTGTGTTGCTGCTGCACGCAACTCAGGGGACACTCATAATCCCTACATCCCTAAGCTCCATCCTGTTCCCAGGACCTCACTGACTTCCTGCTTTCAATCAAGTTAGTTGGGAACTAACTTAACAAAGGTATTGGAAAGTTCAGAAAGGAACATCCGAATAGCCAGCCTCCAGCCTGACCACAGACTAGATATTGCTTCTGAACAAAAGACTGTGTTCTGGGCCTCTGCATGTAGAGAAAAGTCTTACTTCTAGCACTCACCTAAGAAACAGAATCCCTGACTATATTTGGGTGTTTGTTTTTTGAAATGGAGTCTAGATCTGTCACCCAGGCTGGAGTACAGTGGCACAATCTTGGCTCACTGCAACCTCCGCCTCCTGGGTTCAAGTGATTCTCATGCCTCAGCCTCCTAAGTAGCTGGGACTACAGGCATGTGCTACCATACCCAGCTAATTTTTGTAGTTTTAGTAGAGACGGGTTTTCACCATGTTGGCCAGGCTGGTCTCAAACTCCTGACCTCAGGTGATCCACCCGCCTCCGCCTCCCAAAGTGCTAGGATTTCAGAAGTGAGCCACTGCGCCCGGCCAACTATTTATATTTGTAATAGCCTTAATGGGTGGGTGGATGGGCAGGTGAAGGGAGAAGCAATTCATGAATATTCTCTTTAATTCATTATGTATTATAATTTAATCAGATTATAAAATCTAAAAGGGAAATTGGTGAATTCGCTTATAATTTGCTCAACTCAGAGTTTTCCTAGTCCAGCTACTATTCCAAAAATGGAATAGTAAATCTAATAAAGTTGTGCCCCAGGAAATACTCCTCTTTGTTTTGTCTTCAAATTGACTTGTGTCTTTAGGGCAGTATTTTCTCAGTAGTAGTTCAGATATCGCATCCTTATTGAGATATTTGGAGTGTAACTCCTTGCTTCCTTTCTGTTAGGCAATAAAGATACTAATAACTAATAATTGTAATAATAATAGCAATTCAGTATCCTACACTTATCCATACTTTCTGTGTTCCGGGCACTGCTCTATTTGATGTTCATAAGGATACACATGTAGTACATATTACAAATGAGTGTGGGTTCTCTAATCATTTCTACTTTACATGTGAGAAAAATTAAGCACACAGAGGTTAAGTGATTTGTCCCTTCTAACTTCTTTCAGCTAAAACTTAAATTTACCGAGAATCCTGTGAAAAGTTTTCATTCAGATTTCAAGCTGTCAATCTCTTTGTAAGTCAAATCTTGAATAAAAGAGTTGGAGGGAGGCAGAGCTTATGTTTTCAAAGGATTTGGGAGTTCCAGTTTCAGATTTTAAGACTTTAATCAAAGGATCCTTTAAAAAGTGAGATCAATAAGATTGTTACCTTAATCTTTAATAATAAGAACTGGGAACTTTTCCATTTCTTTGCACTTAATTTTCCATGTTTATCATATGGCTCATGTACAATGTATCTGATCTCTTAGAACTTCAGTGGGTTTTTGAAGCCAGGAAAAAGCAAGGAAATAACAAAAACTGTTCTGTAACACTGAACTTTACTCACTGCCCTGCCTAATTCCTAATTACCTTAAACAATTTACCCAGGATGCTTCAGTATAACTACCTGGAAAAATGAGGATGGAACTTTGGTTCTAGCAGGCATGTGAACATTTCATTACTAGGTTTGCAGAGTATCCTAAAATTCCCAGACAAAAGTGACCAGAATACTGGAAAAGAATATCATTATTGCTAGTAGTGGGGTTGTATGGGGCCAGGGGCAGTTCTGAGAATCAAAGGTCCATGTCCCTTTCTCTACACTGGATCCTCATCCCACCTTCTGCAACCAGCCTCAAGGGGAGATGGAGAAAGAATCATTTATTCACCTTCTGGCTGCAAGAACTGCAGACTGCAACTGTGGCAGTTCTAGCACTGAGGAGAAAATACACATAGGAAAAAAGAAGACCATGTCTCACTTCCAAATTAGAAAAAGACATTTCTACATGTTTCCATAACCCACAGACTGCTGCCATTTGAGGCCAATCCCTCAAAGCTTTCTTCTTTGTCTAGTGTAGATGCTGAATCTAGGCCACTGTCAGCAATCCTTTTCATTCACCCAGGCCCATCCCCACGCCTCACAGATGCAGAGATTCTCTGGAGACATGTGTACTTTGGTATCAAACAATGCAACTCATGTTTGATTTTGGATAACCTTGCACTGTTGAATAAAATAACCCTTGAGAAAGAAGCAATAAAAGTGCTGTAAGAAAAATGACTCATGTTTCCAAGCTGTCTAAAGTGATCACTTATCCCAGCAAATGGTAATTCTTTCAAGACACAGTGGGCATACACCATACTTATAAAAATCTGGAAGGAAACTCTTGCAAACATTTTTTTAAAAATCGTGTTAAAATATATCAAAAGAATGTTTCTAGTAGACTGTACCAGGCAGGCTATGCTTAAAAACAAAAACAAAAACCACATGGAGGTTGAAGCCAAGGTGGATTGGCCCAAAGGGGGTCCTTGCTGAAAATGCAGGCGCATCAGCTTGTTTATATACTTGTTTATGTGCCTCTAATTGTTTTCTATTTTCTGCCCCCATTCGTTAGAGTGCAAAGATGTGAATAAAGTGGCTTATTGCCCACTGGTGCTGAAGTTCAAGTTCTGCAGTCGAGCATACTTCAGACAGATGTGTTGTAAGACCTGCCAAGGACACTGACCCACAGAAAGTCAGAAAGAGCACCTTGTCGTTTCATCACGGAAATGTGTCCATCAAAGAGAGCCACCCAGAGGAAGAGGATTGATGTCCTTGCAAATGCATTACCCTGTGGAAAATGTAACCACTGGTCAGCCCTAGCTGACAAGATTTCAATATTATTTTAACTTCTGTGAAGTGGGATTTATTGATCCGAAGTGCTGGACACGGTATTAGGAGGGAATGCCAGATTGGAGAGATCCAAACAACACAGGGAGACTTGCTTACTGTGGAGCGTTTGTGTTCTTTCGAGTAAATCCAATAGCCTGTTTACCTCCTTGGACCATTAAGATAATTTTTATTATGGACTTAGCAATGACACTGAATCATTTGTATTTGAAACTGTTTAAAATGTAGCTGTTATAACTTGGTCAACTATGGAAATGAAGAAGGTTCAGAATTCTTAAGTCATAGCTTAAAATATTATCTCACTACAACAGCACCACAATTTAAATTATAAAACGGGCTTTGAACTATAATTTAAGGAGCAATTATAAATCAAAAGTAATGAAAGTTTGTATTATTTTTCTTCATTCCACTTAATTTCCTTAGGAATAATCCCCCAGTTCTGAACACTGCTGTGAGCCATATATATAAAACTATATTAAACTGAACAATAATGAAGGACATAGTTTAAAGCAGTGCATCAGTTACTGCAGCTGTGCAAGTCTATAAACTCAGTGCTGAAAGACTGTGGCCAACTTGCCATTGTGCAAGTAAAGCTGAGATTTCCATTAAAACTTTAAGAGAAAAACATTTCAATTTCATGCAGAAACCAGACCTGGGGTATGGTAGAGACTTAAGGACTGGGCCCTTTGCTGCCACCACACAGGATGCCTTAGTTCTTGAGTCCCCCCAACTCACTTGTGTTTACATCCTCTTCAGCCACAGCACGGCTTCTGCCCTTTGGATTGCTGCACACGTGTTGAGCTTACTGAGATGATACCATGCAAAAGATAGACTGGCTCGGTAACAACCAGGCAGACCCTTTTGCAATTTGCTGACAATTACGATGGGTTCCAGATGTCCCTTCTTTGATATGGTAGAAGGGCATTTATTTATGAGAGCAAATGTGTGTGTGTGTGTGTGTGTGTGTGTGCGCGTGCACGCACTTTTAAGTGTGTGGATAGATGAGTGTGCTAGCACATAATGTGCTATTTCTGTGAGTTTTAAAGTAGGCAAGGGATAATAACCAAAGAAGAAAATTTCATGGAGACTAGACATCATTAAGCATAATTTTAATAGTCACTCAATCAAGTATTTTGTATTTTTTATGGATACTCTGAATGGCAATTAAATGTGAAACCCAGTTTCTTGGGAAACTCAAATTCTAGAATCACAACCACCTAAATTAAAATGACTAGCTAATATTTTCCCTGTCTTCAAGTTTCACATCCTACTCATCAAGACTCGACAGCAAGACTCAGAATAAAAAAGGGTACTTGTTTATATTAATATTTTGTACTTGAACACGTGTAGCTTGCAGCAGGTTCTTGATGAATGTGCTTTGTGTCCAACACGCCTCCCCATGGTACACAGGTGTACACCATGCATGCACCAACACCTAAAACTCAAGACTAAATGGCTATTTTGTAAGGTTAATACTTTGAGTCAAAGAGCATGTTCGACTCAGTTCCATCACAGTGCTCTGAAATTACACGTCAGTGTATCACATATACCATGATCTAATGCGGATTAATAGGTTTTTCCCAAAAGGAATATAGAACCTCAGATACCAAAAGCCAATCTAAACTCCCAGGTTTGCTGTGGACAATCGGCACAGAATGTTCTCTACACTCTCAGTCATGACCATCTGTATCTTGTTACCTGCTTTCTCTCTCAAAACCACAGTTCTTAACCCTGAGCCCTTCAGAGAGAGCTACCGATGATACACCAGGAATAAGAGGAATCACCAGGGCCCAGCTCTATGATGCCCTTAGAAGACCAGCCCAAGTGCCATCTTAGCCATTCAGTGAAGAGCAAGCAGCCCACAGGCAGCATGGCCTGAGCACCGAATTCCCTTGAGCCTTTTCAAAGAACAGTTAACTTTGTGCTAATGTGCCCTGGTGAAATAAAACAAACAAATAAAAGGTGGGTGGTTTCTGTGACATTTTAGGCATGGGTTTGCAATCCAGATCTGATTTTCTCCAACATAAATATCAGCTCATGTTTTTATTGCAAAAAGATTTCCTAATACCAACTAAAAGCTGTTTTTTACCTCACCTGGAAACAACTACTGTGAGGGCCGTCCCCCAGGCACTGCACAGCACCGTGACTGATACTGGAAGAGGAGGGCAGCCAGTGTCACCTCCAGGATGTGCCCCAGCTCTGAGGGCAGGATGTAGGCACACCCAGGAGCAGCATCAGTGTGCCTTTCTGGAGGGAGCCAAACACAGAATGTAACAGAATAAAACAGTTTCAGGTAGGCCTTGAATTTAAACATGAGTAGGTTTAAAAAAATTATAATTCATAGCACATCACAATACTGCTGCTACTCTGTAGTCACCCCTATGGCTACATGATGCCCTATTCCTAAATAATAACAATAGGATTGTCAGTGGCGGCTGGGCCACCATGGCAGACTTTCCAAAAGTAGTGAGCTATGTAGACTACTTACGGAACCCCAGGGAAACTGGTACCCTGCACCTGGGAGCAGTATCTGCCAATGGGATAAAGGCCTACTAAAAAAGGAAAGGTAAATGTACCCTAATGCTTAAACCCTGTGAGATACATATGATTTCCAAACAGTCCATTTTATTAGGAACTTTTTTATTTGTATGAATGTCACATAGGTATCCTCAATAACACAGAATGAAATTACCTTTGTATTATTGTGATTAGTTGTTATTATTTTATACTCAGTAATAATGTGGTACACTGTTAATTTTTTTGCTTTTGTAAATTATATTCTAATTTATTGCCATGTTTCCTAACACTTGTCCTACATTCATTCTCCTCGTAATGAAAATCAAAAAAATCATTGTAACACTTGATGGAGTGAAATTCCATGCCAGGCACAGAATTATTTTTGACATAGATAATTTAGTAAAATAAAAATTCAGCTTATAATAATGATACAGATTGAAGTCGTCTATTTCCTGAAAAGCTCGTGTTAAACTTGCAGTACCAGAAATGAATTTCCTTGGGATACCACACCTACATTATCCAAATTATCCAAGTAGTATCTGTGCTGTATCCTTATTACCTTCCTCAGGGATAGCATCTATTTCTGTGTGTTTTAGTCCTTTAGTCCTATCTAAACGCAAGAGCTTCGGGTATTAATGGTAGGGCTACATCCCCAAACACCACCAACCATTCTTCTGAGGCCCCGAAGGAAGTCCAGATTGGCCACTGCCACACCCCTTCAATTGCTGGTGTACAATTATTTTGCTCTCCTTTTCTTGCCTTCCTATACTTCCTATTTATTGCTATACTAATAAATTATTTAGTATAGCAGAGGATGCAAGATATTTCATGTGCCAAGGGCACTAAACCAAATGAATTCATACTTGAGAGATTTTTCTAGTCAGGGCAGAAAAACATGATGAGCCCACTTTCTACCTTTAGCATTTCCTTTTGGGCTGAAGAAGAACTAATAGTTCAGTCTCTGCTGAGTTGAGGGATGCAATGATATGCAAAGGTAACTAAAAAAAAATTTGAATATGAAGATGACCGTCCTGCATGCTTAGCTATTTGAGTACTTTCATGACAACATCAATTGCACAAGGAGAGTGGAATTGGCTGGGTGCAGTGGCTTGCACCTGTAATCTCAGCACTGTAGGAGGCCAAAGCAGGTGGATCATCAGAGGCCAGGAATAGGAGACCAGCCTGGGCAATATTGTGAGACATCATCTCTACCAAAAAAAAAAAAAGAAAAGATATGAACTGTCCCGGCATGACAGTGCTTTATTCTACCACTCTGATGTCTCATACACATCATATCCAGTTGTTTCTTCATTAGAAGAAATCAGGTTGCGTCACATGTGATAATTAGAAAGTCTTAGGAGAGTATTTCTCCAAGTTTACCCTAGCAGCCAAAAACTACTGAACTATGAATGGTTCATGAGAAGACTCTGGATACCAACCATTTTAATCTCCCACTGCAGTTGCAAAGGATAGTTTCTGCTGTGGTTGGGGAGGGAGGAATACCAAGAAACAAGATTTACTTTAGCTTAGATTATTAAGTTTGGAATCTAGTCTATCTTTTCAGCTACAGTTGTTTTCAAACTTCTAATTAAGTCCCTTTTATCCCTTTGTCATGTCAAAAGGACACTATTCTGCTTAGGATACTGACTCCAAGGAAAGTCTGCCTTCCATGGAGATTCGGCCACTCCTCAGGGAGCATGGGTATCATCCTTAAGCCTTTATGCCCCAAAATGCCAGATGTTTTTCCAAGCAAATTCAGGAAAAAGTTAGGTCTTGGGAACAAAAATATGGGAATTTACATGGCTAGTATAAGACTCATTACTTTTTAAAGAGGGAAAAAGAAATCTTGTTCACGTAAAAAAAAGAAGTCACAGCCCAAGAGAACTGAAAAATTCTAATTAAGTGGTCACAGGAAATTCACTGCATTTAAAAGTGACACATAAGCTTTGTTTGGAATTCTCTCTCATTCATATCCTCAGAATGTGTGGAATAAACTAACATGTTTTCAAAAAGAACAGCTGCTCCCAATGGTTTTGTGCCTGAGTTAAAAACCTGAAGTTTGAACTTAAAAAGAAAATGGCATTTTCTCCCACTTTTTCTCAGAGGGCTATTTCTAGCATTCATTGTCCCCCTATCATCCACAGATGATATCTGAGGCCTGAAATGGAACTGTGGTTTGAAAGCCGGCTCCTACTTGGTGAGGAAACCAAGGTTATGCCCATGTTATCTTTTGATCAATGGTTCCTGTTAACGCACTGTAAGCTTTGAGCTGCATAGGTGATGAAGTGAATTTCCACAGCTATGTCCTGTCTTCACCAGAATGACACTGTGTGGTTTGCACAAGGTCCCAATACTACATGATGTCCCTGACTCTAGGGATTTGGGGAGCCTGGATATTCCCATTCACCTCAGGGTACATGACATCATGCCTGACCAATCGGATTTCATTGCCCAGACCTTAAAGCTTGTGAAAATCAAGGGGTTGGCCGGGCGCAGTTGTTCACGCCTGCAATCCCAACATTTGGGGAGGCCAAGGCGGGCAGAACATGAGGTCAGGAGTTTGAGGCCAACCTGACCAACACGGTGAAACCCTGTCTCTACTAAAAATAAAAATAACTTTAAAAAAAGAAAAGAGGTTTCTTCTTGGCTTGGACACCCTACCTTCCAGAAAGCTTTCATGTAAGAGGGGACAAGTTATCCCCCAACTTTAGGCCTCCCAGAAGTCAGAGTGCCTTTTTCAGGTTGATGATTCAACATTAGATGGTTTCTACTAGCTCAAAGCTGATAGGATTCTGGGAGAAGCCTTGTCTATGCCCCCCAGCAAGGGCAGCTGTGGGTAGCAAGTTCTCTTATGGGCCCACACAGAACTATGTTCACTTTGAAATTCCTGCTAGTAAAGCAGTAACTGTGAGATGAGGCCCCTGAATTTTCAAGCAAAGGTGGCAGCAGGAAGTCCCAGTCCAGGGCTACTCCAGGCCAGGTGTTAGCCTCTGTGTCTGGAGAGTAGCATCAGCCATGGTCATTCATTCATACAGCTAATATTTGCTAAGTATCTGCTGTACCCAGGTCTTGTGAGAGGCACTTAGTATATGCTGTCTCATTGAGTATTCTACAACAAAACTAGGAGGACAGTACTATCAGTCCCCATTGACAAGTGCTAAAATTGAGGCACAGAGAGGTGAAGTCGCCAGGGGTCACAGGACCAATGCGAGGAGTATCACCTCTTCAGCACACAGAGAAGTAGCTGCCAGGTCTGCATCTGTGGCAGAAAGGTTGGGAAGGGTGCTTATTGGCTAGAGAGATACCTACTGACCAGACCACAGGAAATAAGGTCCTCTTTCCTGACAAACAATGGGCCTGACGCCTTGGGAGGGGCCTCAGGAGTCAGGGAACAGGGAGCTTTGGGCTCCTGTCTTGGTAGGTAGTAGTATTAACTATGGGAATCTCAACGTGTGATAACAGAATTACAAGTGAGGACCTAAAGTGGTTTCTACGAGTTAATGGCAAGAGGAGGAAAAGGAAGGTCAGAGACATTCTAGGATGGAAGATGTCTCAGTGACAGTTAGCAGCCAAACACAGCGTAGGGGGCTCTCATCTCCCCTGAAATATCTTGTTGGACATCATGGAGCCTATCCCTGCCTGACAGTCTGCTGTACCATTTCCAAACATACCAGACAGATGGCCTTGCTGACCTATTTCAATATAACTGGAACAGAATGATTTCCATGTTGGCTTCAGGATACATTATAAGGAAGAAAGGTGTGTTCCTTTCTGTTTCGATCACAGCAAGACCATCAGGGCTTGAAAAGTTGGGCCATCAGGTTGCCGCCAGCAAGCACATTCTTTGACCTTCTGTGGTGGGTCTGCAGAGTGGAACCAGGTGTTCTTTCAGCCCATGCCAGAATGTATTGGCCGCCCAACTGGCCGCCTGCCTCCACCCCACCAACGGGGCTTTGGCTGGCCCTCTACCAAACAGCTGTTTGGGGAGACACAGGTGGCCGCCCACACTCATGCCCAGGCCAGCAGCTGCTTTGGCCTGATTAAGCCTGGCAAGATGGGCCCTCCTGTGCCTCTGTCCTCGTGCCCCAACTTCTCCCTGAGCCAGGTCACTCAGGGACTAGGGAGGAGGAAAGCCAAAGGGTAGATACACTGTGTATTCAATGCACTCAGAAACCTGCTTCGTGGCCCAGCGGCAATAAACAAGAGAATACTGTGCGCCTCTCCTTCTTTCAATATCATCAATTTTGGCATTTTATTTTTAATTATTCAAGTTAATCTTACGTAAATGAATAGAACTTTAGTTCCTGTTTCTTGTTTATGTTATTGTTAGAATAAGAATCTTCTTCTCCTGTATCTGTAATAAATATGAAGGTAAAAAGGATTACATCCCAACTTCTGCTAAATGCTATCTGGGAGACCATGCTAGATGCCCAGATCATAACGACTGCAGAAGCATGATTGGATATACTGACAAAGAACCCACAGAAGTGGCCAAAATATAAGCTAAATGAAAGAGTGTAGCAACATCCATGTCATTACAGCCAAGCTAATTGCAATAAGAAATAATTCTATTCATGAAGTTTAGAACAGGAAAAAAGTAAAATTGAGAAATTAAATATTTATTTTGAGATTTAAAAGAGAGACTCTATGATGAAACTGTGAAATAAGATATAAGCTGCAGGCACATCTAGCTTTGAGGAGTATCTGAATGTAGGTAGGGCCAGGATACCACCTGATGCATTTAGGGTCCAGGTCCCCACCAATGTGGAAAGCTCCTGCTAAAGGGAAGTAGAAGGGGGACCTACTGTTTCATTTTATCTCACATTTAAACTCAATTACAGAAATTAATTTACAAACTATCCCCTACTGGCCTTTAAAATCAACGCATTGGAACTTAACTATCCAAATGAACGTTGTCTCCTTCCATGCAGCAATTGGAGATCACTTTGTACTCATTCTAAGAATAAACTCATCATTCAAGACAGTTTTAAAATTGCTTCTTTAGAATGTCTCCCAATGTAGGATGAATTTGATTTTGACAAAAGCCCAAACTCATTTAAAATAAAATCTGGTAAGTAATTTGCGTATAATCATTTTGGCCCCAAATGGCTTATATGTCTTACAAATTCACCTGAGGTAATATCAAGAAAGGTATTCCAAATATGCTTTGAATAAGTGACCACTTTAAAGATTTTGTTCATTTGGATTAAAAAAAAAGTGCTGGTATTTTTGCCTAAAAATTATTGGCGTGTCTTCATTATTCTACTTAAAATTCATATCATATAACATTTCACTAAATGTACTGTTATTTCCAATTCTATAATTAGCTAGAACCTGGACCACCTACATGGCATTATCTGTCAGGGTGAAGAAAGATCTCTGCCATCTTTGAGGACTGAGTAACCCTTAAAGGTAGGAAACCAAACCAC